ATAATTAGAAATTAACAAAAAATATACATACCTAATGAATAATTAGAAATTAACAAAAAATATACATACCTAATGAATAATTAGAAATTAACAAAAAATATACATACCTAACGAAGATTTAGAAATTAACAAAAAATATACATACCTAACGAAGAATTAGAAATTAACAAAAAATATACATACCTAATGAAGAATTAGAAATTAACAAAAAAAAATGTTAATAATAACAGTAAAATTTATTCTGTGAGAGTTATTTTACTGACAAATCTGAAATTACTCCCATGTTTCTATTAAAGCTAATGAGGGTATATGAATGATATTTTGCAAAAGAAAAAACTACTAACATATTTTATTTCTGGTTAATTCCCATAGTTAAGTAACAATTTAAAACCATTGGCCAAACAAAAAAAAAGTGATATTGTACTTTCATTACATCATCACATCCTGAATTGTGTATTTATCAGTTATTCTAACATTTCTAGTTTAAGTTACAGATATTAGTATACTCCTTATCAAAATGTTTAATGTTATTATTAACATGTTTAGAATACTTTTAATTTACTTGTAATGAACAATTCAGTTACATATGGCTTTTAAACCATGTGTTGACATTTTCATTCTGTTTAATGCACTACAGAAATTGAAAAAAATCAACTAATACTAAATACTATGAAAAGTGCTTATTTTACTGTCATGTACATTAAAAAATAGGTAGTGATTTCTGTGATTTAAACTATTATAGCTAAATTGTACTAATACAAAACTTTTATATCCTGTTATTCTTTGCTGGAGCTACACATGAAATTAAAACAGTTGTAAATTTTCCAGAAAACGTATTTGGTTATAATTTCTGCTACTCTGTTCTTGACCTGAATATATGAACAGAATGATAACATAAAATGTGTACAGGTCAGAGCAGAAACTTTGGATACCTACCTTTAATTTCAACTTATTAAAACGTAATTAATTTTTAATGAAAGTGAAGATTGTGGGTGATGTTATATTCACGTTACACATTAATTAAGGTATTAGTTGTAAGTAATTAAGTAGTACATTTTAATGAATACACTGTTTTTATTAATAAGTGGTTGAAAAATAAACATTTGGTTTCATTATTAATTAACTTTATACTTATTGCACCCTCTATTTTAAAGTGTACATTCATGACACTAACTGTGTCTCTGTCACTTTATTTATTGGAAAACAGAAATAAGTACTTAGTAATTTATCATCGAGCTAGGACTAATCGTGAATAAAAGTCACAAAAACAAATGCAATATTAGGACTGAGACTAATTAAAAACTAGTCTGTAAAAATCATGTTTTACTGTATAAATAATCTACGACCAACTTTGTATAACATGTATATATATATAGAGTTCTTATACCAAAACATGTTGTACTTGAAACAGGAAGTAATAAGCTACATATACCCCCTTAAAACTGGCTGCAGATTGTATACCACGTTATAACTTTTTGTTTATGGAGCTGAAACATAATATGATATCTTTGTATTGTACATAGTATTACCACATGAGTAATGACCCAGTTGTAAAAATTTTCCCATAACAGTCACTGATATCTTACACGTGCCACTATAATTGCTTTGTGAAATGTGTTTATTAGTCACTGTTTCATACATATGTTAAAAAAAAATAAAAACTTGTTACTTGTCAATATGATATACAGTATTTGTGATTAAATATAATGACATTATATTTAGCTCCAGGGAACAGTTATTTCCTTGCTGTGAAAAAAAGATAACGGTAGCATTGTTGAAAATACTCAGGTTGAGACATTTGGCAAATGTTGTCTCATTATTGGTGTGTTAAATATTTACCTGTCTTGTCAAACACGTTTTTTGTATTAATCACATGAATTACTTCTCCCAGACACTTTTAATGTTGAATCTGGATTCAGTATGTACTCATCCTAGAACATTTTGACATTGTTTCAGGAGAAATTTCCTTTTTGTAGAGAAGATTTCTTGAGATGTCTGGATGAAGGATACATTCGACTCCATAAAAACTTTATTGAAGGTAAATATTCTACGTTTCTTTTTAAATTAAAATATTTTATTAAAGTGAAAGAATTGTTTTTGGTTATGATGAGGTGTGGCATGTACATATTGTTCGTAGAGCACGTAGTTAACAAGTACAATATAGATATCTGTATTTCCAAACAGAATCCATTTTGTTTTCTTCTGAGAACTGTTCTTCACTATAATGCTTTGATATCAGTTAGTTTAAAGGTAAAATAAATGCTTAGAGATTAACAGTCCTCTTGTAGTTGGAAAGAGCAGTAGGGTATTTAAAGGAAAACAACTTCAACTACATTTAGTGGTGTAATAAATCAAAGCTGAGTGACCTTACCTAGAATATGGAATAAAAGACAAAATCAATATTAGAAGTGGACATATTTATTTTTGTTCTTTCTCGTTAATATTGTAAATAGACTATTTAAATAACGTATTTATTGTCACAAAAATAATTCATAATAAGATAGAAAACAACTAACTTGTATTTATTTACAGCAAAGCAAAATTTACAGACGTCCGTAAAGAACATTTCTTTTGAAAATTTTGTAAAACTGCTAGGATATTACTCCTTTATCAGGTTTGTATTGTCCACTGTTGCTACATCAGATGGACATTTCTTCCAAAGCACTTGTAGAGCTTCATTAGGTGATATTACTTGTGTATGTGGTGAACCTGGCCGGACTGATATAACTCATCAATCATGAAATAAATTTCTCATCCACTGATCCATGGACTTGTGCAAGTCCATTAAAACCATCTTGCTGGCCCGTGGGATTTCATGAAAACAAATAAACAAAAACTGACAGAATATTCTGATAAAAAGTTTAGAAAAAAACGACCTTTATACTCCAGATATATATATATATAAAATAATTTTTTTATTTTAACAACCGTTTCATCTTTGTGGCTTTATCAGGGTTAATATACAAAACTATTGTGTATATTAACCCTGATGAAAACATTGGTTAAAATAAAACAATTCTTTTCTATATGTACCTGGAGTATAAAGGTCGTTTTTTCTAAACTTCTTATCAAAATGTATAAATCTCTCCAGTATGCACTACAAATTTTGAATGACAGAATATTCGTATGTAAATTATAATGGGTTTTTGTTGTATTTGTATTTTAGTGGTCTGTGACAGTTTAATGAGGCAGTGAGGCAGTCCTTGGTGTTGGAAAGGTTGAGAAATGCTGTCTTTCGTCCGAAGTAAATAATAATAAATTTTGATGAGAGTAAACTGTGTACTTAGAACATAACTAAAAATCAATTTGGTAATGAGTATAGCTAATTAAATAGGTGTTGGAAAGGTTGAGAAATGCTGTCTTTCGTCCGAAGTAAATAATAATAAATTCTGATGAGAGTAAACTGTGTACTTAGAACATAACTAAAAATCAATTTGGTAATGAGTATAGCTAATTAAATATACTTTTTTTTTTATGTTTCTGCTTATAATGATTAGAATGAATTGTATCACCACTTGGGTACCCTCACTGTTAATGATATTTTGGGCCAGACTTATAGAGCTTAGGCACCTTAAAATTTCAATTATTGGGTGTTCATGATATAGGCTTTAAAATTATTACTACATATCTAATATGTCAATATAAAATTATGATTTTATAAGTAGAAATATTTCATAACTTTTTTAATAGTTAATTTTTTTTAGCATAATGTTTATTTTGGTCCTTTTGTAAATAAGTGTCTTAGATCCCTCATATATATATATATCATACTTTTAGTTCCTAAGGGACTAAAACATTCAATTTTTTTGTACAATGTAGGACGTACTAGTAATGCAAAGAACATAATGTTTGATATAATAATGGTGGCAAGACATCAACATCTATTGCCAAAAATTTCTAATTCTTCATTAGGTATGTATATTTTTTGTTAATTTCTAATTCTTCGTTAGGTGTGTATATTTTTGTTAATTTCTAATTCTTCATCAGGTATGTATATAACACATTAGACTTAAAGATAGATTGGGTTTATGTGATTAAATATAAGCAACAGAGCTTAAACATAGCCATGCACAGCATGTCTTAAGCTCAGGAACCAGTATGGTACATTATTTTTTTCAAATTCTACCAGACAGTAAATTTGCATACAATGCATTGAAATTGTTTCAATATAAAAATTATTTCAGAGGTTATATA